CTTTCAGTTCAGCGTACAAATACGCACTCTTAATATCCACTTGGTGGACTTCCCAATCGAGTTTGGCTGCCATGGTGAGTACGGCTCTTATTGTCGTCATGTTGGAGGTTGGCGCGAAAGTGTCGAAATAATCGACGCCGAATTTCTGGCGCTGTCCGTTTGCCACCAGTCGTGCACAGAGTTTCAACTTCTCTCCGCTTGGGCCACGCTTTGTCGCCAGTACATAGTGGCACGGGATCAAATTCACACGGTCAGGTGCGTTGACAAGCTCCCACATTCCTAACTTCTCCAACTGACTCAACTCATACTGTATTGCCTCTCTCCATTCTTCAGCATCCGGACCGGATAGAGCTTGTTGGAGGGTCAGCTCGGGTTGTACAGCTGCCTGCGCATATAGGTGAGTAATCTGTTCCTCGTATCCTGCTGATTGGGCTGCCAGTGTGGCTATCTCCCCCTCATTTAGCGCCGAGTAGTACCCTGGCGGTGGCCGCATCCTTGTGGCTCTAGGTGCCGGTGGCATCTCTTGTTGGTGGGAGGCTCTTGGTGGAGTAGATGGGGGTTGTGGTGCTGGTGTCTGGCCACTAGGAAGCTGAGGTTGGGCAGGTCTGGACTCCCCCTCGGCTGGTACATCAGCAGCCACCTCAACATTCGAAGGTGGGAAGGTAACATTATGCTCGACGGATACCTTTCTCCTCCCCGGCCAGTATACCTGGAACACCTTGCTCTGGGCATTCACTCCCATGAATATGGCCTCTCCTGCCTTCGCATCCAGCTTCCCAACGTCGCCAACATGGACGTAGCACGGCACCCCAAACTCTTTCGCCACAGACAGGTCTGGCTTCTCGCCATGTACCAGGGAATATGGAGTATGGCCTGGGATCGCCTTCAAAGGTAGGCGGTTTTTGAGCCATGTTGCGTGACTGATGGCTTCGGCCCAGAGATATTTCGGCAGTCCTCGTGCTATCAGCATGGCACGTGCATGCTCTACCAAGGTACAATTTAACCTTTCGGCCACGCCATTTTTCTGAGGAGAGTCGTGTACAGTTAGCTCCCTTCTGGTGCCGTTTTCCTTCAAGAGGGCGTCGAAGTCCGCGCTGAGGTACTCTCCTCCCCTGTCCGAACATAGCGTTTTGATACGCACGTCATGCTGCGTGGTGAGTTGGGCCTGGTACTGCCGATACGCGTTCAGTGCCTCACCCTTGCTCTTCAGGAACGTGATGACAGTCTCCCGGGAGTAGTCATCGGTGAAGCTCATGTAATACCGTGAGCCAGCAATGCTCTCAGTCTGCGCAGGGCCCCAGAGGTCGGTATGTACGACTTCGCTGTATCCTTTTGCCCTCCTGGTAGCCTCTTTGGGAAAAGGGGCTCGCGCTGACTTTGCTTTAGCGCAGGTATCGCAGAAAGTTGGATCAGTGGATATGTCCACATCCAAGCCCTCCACAAGACCCTCCTTCACAAGATGCTGGACGGCCGGTTGGGAGATGTGCCCTAGTACACGATGGGCTTCGTATAGCGTAAGTTTTCCCTTCGCTACGTTTGCGCACTCCTGCTGACGCGTCTTAACACTGTAGAGACCATCCACTTGTGGGATTTCCGCAATGAGCTTTCGTTTGGGGCCAGGTGAGAGTATCTTGCACTTATTCCCTTCAAAATGGACTGCTAACCCTGCAGCAGTGATTCTATTGGTGGAAATGAGAGTAAACGCCATGTTGGGCGCATAGAGGGCACTTTTCAGCGTCACGGAGGTGTGTGTGGCTCCCAGGGGTAAGTCTATTTGGACATCCCCACGTCCTATAGCACTGACGGTTGATCCATCAGCGGTGTGTATGTCCTGCGGTGGGATGGAGACAAAATTGGAGAATTTGGTACGGTCCGGGCAGAAATGCGAGGTAGCGCTGGAGTCGATGATGGCTCCGCGCCGGCTTACAGGTACATCGAGATCCTTCGCTATTGCAGCTAAGTCTGACGTCGCGAATGCGTATTCATCCTGCGCGCTGGTCTGCTTGGCAGCATTAGCACCTTCCTTTGGACCGCGTCCTCCCTTCCTTTGGTTCTGCCTGGGACCCTGTCCCTCCTTCCCACCTCCCTTCCTCCAACAATCCTGCTTATAATGACCCTTGCGGTCGCAATTAAAGCAGGTGATGTCTGGATTGGCCGCGGTGGAGTTGTTCGAGGTGTGAGGTTTAGTGCTCGTTGACCTTGCTGCTAGGGCAGAGTTTCCTCCCTTCTTAGTGGGACGACGTTCAGTGAGCATTCTATGCTCGTATTCCTCGCTGACGACACTGATGAGTTCGTAGGGGGTAATGGGTGTCTGTGTGACTCTCGCTGCTGCATTTATCGACGACAGCAGCAGCCTATAGGACTCTGGGAGGGAGCCGATGATAATGGCGTAGAAGTCGCGATCCTCGACATCTGCGCCCATTCCAGCCAATGATTCGCGCAAGCATAGGAGCTCGCTCAGGTGAGACTTCGCATCCCCACCCTCTTCACATCGCAGATCCTGGAGTTGGCGCCTCAAGTCTATTTGGACGAGTTCGGTCTTCCCTTCGTGGATGTTCCAAATCTCCTCCCATATTAATGCAGCGCCCTCGAGCTTCTGCATGTGCAGCAACAGTCGATCCGTGATCGTACTGAACATCTGCTGCTTTACGAGCACGTCCTTTTGGAAGTACTCATCTATCTTCTTGTCTAGATCGTCGACCTCCGCCTGGGTAGCTATGGAGCCATCTGGCTTCAACGCAACGCCCGTCTTTGCATCCACCTTGTAGGGGATGGGTCGTTTGGCACGGCTGTCGACATAACGCATCAAGCCTCTCGCACCTATCGCCGTCAACATGCGTTCCTTGTAGGTTATCCAATTGCTGCCATCTTCGGCTAACTTTGGAATGTTGAATAGTGCGGACGTGGTGCCGGGGAGCGTGGAGTCAGTAGCCATGTCAGGGCTCATAACCTGTAGACTTTTGGTGCGAGCGGGACAAGAGAGCAACGACTAGATAGGACAAATGATCTCAGTCTTGGGGACAAGCACTCTGGTATATTAGATATGTACCTAGATAGGACAAATGCTATTGATACTTGTGAGCTTGGTAAACAGTACGAAAACATCAAGTAACTTACATCTCAGTCTTGGGGACAAGCACTGAGATGTTTCTGCAAACGACGCGCTATTTTATCATGCGGGAGAATCGGAAGAACGAGGAAAGAAAAACTAAATGACTTTAAGACATTGTACTCGGCCGATGTCACAAACGTCCGCATGACGGATGCGCTCGTACCTTTCACTCCGGCGTGTCCGACGACTCTACTCTCGACAATTTCTAGATAAACAGGTCTTGAAGTCAAGAGCCCCAGAAGAAGTCTGATGTCTTTTGCAATAATTGTGAAATAAATAAATAATCAATCATGGCAACCATACTATTGAAAGAACTGCCTTGACTTTTGATTGGGTTCATTGCAAGTGCATTCAACTGGTATTAGCCAAGCAGTTGATATGACAGAATATAAATCTGTCTGCATGGGTTCAAAACCTGCTAAAGATGAATTTGCCAAGTGATAATTAGAGTCAAAATCTGTTTCTCTTAGACTATGCAGGTGCAAAACCTGTCAATGATAGATTTTATTTTCTATAAAAACCCATCTGGTTTTCTAAGAAACTCATCTTAAATGATCTTAGCCATGTCATCGCCATAACTCTGGTCTGCACACTTTTTGAACTCTACACACTTTGAAGGTCTGTCTTTGTCGATCCTAAATCCCTCTGAGTAATCATTTGCCCATGGACATTTTCTATATCTATTTCTGTTAAACCAAGCTGTTATGACGGTACGTCGTGTGCGGACTGGGATGATCTAACAGCGACGATCACAACAGTGATACCTCATGCTGAGAGTCCAAGGTTGGCTCCTACAGACAAGCAGGAGTTGCGTACGCTTGTGAAGGCGAGCAATAATAGCGGTTACAGGCAGAAGGGGTCTCAAGTCCTTCTGAAGGTGCGGGTCGGATGTCAAGCAAGTAGCTTTAGCAAGACAAGGAGTTCAAGGTTAAACCCAGTAAGATTAAAGTAAGGAACATCTACTTTAATCTTCGACCTTATATAAAGCTACTCTATCATATCTAAGCTCAGCTTGAAGCTGGGTTCTAATCTGCTTATCTATCGAGTTAGAGATACCATGCATGAGGCAGGCTTCTATCTATGATAAGGACCGTGAGGCGTCCTTCTATCAGTACATGAGGCAACCATGAGGCTTGCCTTCTATCTTGATAACAAGAATAGGTCTTCTAGACCTATGTCATCATATGTGGTCCAGACCGCTTATCTAAGCCGGCATCTTCCGGGCTTCTCTTCTAATCATCATCTATCATCGAGGCCTAAAGGCCCAGGTATCGTATTATTGCTGTGCAAGGTGGCAGAGGGCATATCTGTAGCTAGGGGCTCACGTCATGTTACTGTAACACAAGCAGGCTTAAAACCTGTATAATAACATGGTTTTTCTTTTGCCATTAAAACTTGTCTTGAATGCAAGCTCATGAGTCATTGCATCCCACCATTTTGTGTGGTGGATAAATGTGCCTTGAGGGTTCACTTCTGATTGAGTCCATTGGAAGTGCATCTCACTGGTCTTAGCCAAGCAGTCATTACAATAGAATCTAAATCTGTCTGTGTAGGTTCAAAACCTACCTAATGTTAAATAGCCAAGTGATTGCCAGAGTCAAAATCTGTTTCTCTTGGACCGTGCAGGTTTCAAACCTGCCAATCATAAAATTCATTTTCTATGAAAACACACCTTGAAATTTGCTTATGGTCGGTTTGTTTGCAAGATGATCAAAGTCATGTTTAGCCATATGGCTGTTATAACAGAGTCAAAATCTGTTTCTATTGCAGTGCAACAAGTTCAAAACTTGTTGAACATCACATTTTTTCTATAAGCACATGGCTTTCAGATTTGCTCACAGACAGTATCTCAGATATTGATTTTTTTTTGTTATTTTTTTTTGTTTTTTTATGCAAGCTTGTGCACCTGAGGAATCAGTTGAATTCAATGGTGAGTTTTCTTTTTCTTGCATGCACTTACCTTGACAAGCACTAACTTGACTGCTTGAATCCCTTTGTTCAGTGTGATGCAACATACTTACCCTCATCCAACAACTCAGCCTTGTCAACAAATCTGTCTTCATTATATGCCTCATCTATCATCCTTGAATGTTGATGGTTGGAGTACATAACTTTCTCTTTGCCATTGGCACTTGAAATAATGAGCACAGCGGCCATTCATTTCAATAATCTGTGGTGTTGGATCAAAAAATGTGTAGACTGGTGAGTTCAAATCTCTCATAAGGTCTGTTTTGTACTTGATTAATATGATATTTGCATTAAGGTTATTGCACATACAGAGCTCATCTTCTGCCATATCATCATCTTTGTACAATGCATTCTCTTCTTCCTTAGTACGCACAACAGCCTACTGACTAGAAATCAACTCTGGACATGGAGATAATGGTGCTGTTACAGGCCTATTTTTGTCAACTGGCTCATCTTCATTCATAGATCCTGCACCATTGGTGGGAGTGTTACCAGGCAGTAGGGTTTTTTTTGGCCTTTTTAGGTTCATGTTCCCACTATCTCCATTGCTATTGTTTTTATGCTTCTTTGACAAAGTTCTGATAGTCTGCTCTTCTAGAGCAGCTTTGGCCTTCCCAGTCATTTTGATAAATTGTTTGACTGTGGCTGAAAAGGTAAGCTACATGATGGGAAGTACTAGTAGGTGTTAAAGGTTTACAAGTGTTGCGCAGGATGTTATAGTAGTAACATGGCTATGACTATTTAAGATAAGTTTTTGAGAAAACTCTTCACAAGGAAATGTCAAGGTGTGATTTCATAGGATAAAAATATTATCATCAGCAGGTTTCAAACCTGCACAGTTCAAAGAGAAACAGATTTTGACAAACTCATCTTAAAGTTTTTATCCTATGAAATCACACCTTGACATTTTCTTGTGAAGATTTTTCTTAAAAACTCATCTTAAATGGTCTTAGCCATGTTATTGTCATAATAGATTCAAAATCTGATTATCCTGGACTAAGCAGGTTTGAAACCTATATAATTGCATTTTTTGTTGTTCATTGAAATATACCTCAAACCTTTGCTCATAGATGATTGTCTCAAAAACTCATTATAATCAGTCTTAGCCAAGTGGTTGTTACAACAGAATTAAAGTCTGTTTCTCTTGGACCATGCATGCTTGAAATATGCTGAGTGATACATGTTTTTGACCTGCTCAGTCCAGGAAAATCAGATTTTGACTTTTATAACTCCTGAACTAGGACTGATTGCAAACCTGTAGGCTTTGATTGAAACATATTTTGAATCTATTGTGGCAATGATGTGGAAAAGAGCATTTATGATGGGTTTTGAAGAAAACTATCCATGAGGATATATCAGGGTTTAATTTCATAGAATAAAAATATCATCATCAGCGGGTTAAGTGACAACTGACAATGGAAGGATTGTGTATGGTTGGGCTCAAGGGTAGTAGTGCCACAGCTTGGCTACAGTTTTCTCTGGTTTGGTATTTATGGCTATGCCGGAAGTTCGGCAATCCCTGTGAACCAAACCATTGATTCATCACTTGGTTCAACTCATTAGCCATATAAATCAGTTGCAACTTTCATAAGCCAAAAATTTATGAACCACAGTTCGAACCTCTTTAAGCCAGCTTAAGCCAGTTCAACCTGAAATACAAATGTGGTAGTTAGGTGCTTTCTTGTCGTGTCTCACTTGTCTCAAACTCTCAGTGTACTTATATTTTTCTACTATTGTATACACCATGGATAAGGTCCCTGTTCAAGTTGATGGAAGATTTAGTTTAGGAAACATTTTGGGATCTGGTTCATACAGTATGTTATTCACGTAGTAAGTACTGGCTACATATTGATTCTGATTCAACATTTGGACCCTATTTAGCTGTCGTGTATCATGCACAGAACATCATCAAGGATGTTGTAGTTGCCGTTAAACTGGAACCCATCACCCACTCATCTTCTGTGCAGCGCGAATACCATATTCTAAAACACCTTGAAGGCGGTGTTGGTATTCCCCGTGTCATCTGGTTCAGTAGGGAATCAATGTATTATGCTCTTGTTCTCAACCTCCTTGAGCCATCACTTCAGAATCTCTTCCTCGCCCATAACTGAAAATTCAGCCTTAACATGGTTGTAAATATAGGAGACCAGTTAGTTACTCAGTGTGTAGGCCATCGCATTTGCATAATGCTAATCCTTTTCCTAGCTTTCGCGTCTCAAATATATCCACTCCCATAATTATGTTCATGGTGATATTAAACCACAGAATGTTATTGTGGGGCTTGGTGATTTGAAAGACACTGCCTTCATTATAGATTTTGGCATTGCAAAGGAATTTTGGAACACAGCAGCCAGTCTCCATATACCATTTTGCCAAGGGCAATGTCTCACTGGCACTCTGGCATTTGCTTCTATTAATACACACTTAGGAGTTGAACCAGGTCGTCATGACGATCTTGAGTCACTTACTTACATGTTGATATACTTCTTGCAGGGCTCCCTTCCATGGTTAACCAACAATGAAGAAAAACTTTCCAGCTCTTCCATACTCAAGTACAAAGTGGATACAACCATTGAAAATTTGTGCTGTGGCATTCCTATTGAATTCACAATGATTCTCATTTATACCCGCTCTCTCGCATTCTCAGAAGGTCCTGATTATAATCACCCCCATTCATTGCTTCATATCCTTTGTTCTGCACCAACTGCATGCATACTGGATTTAAACCAGCCTGATGTACCTGTTATAACTCCATCTTCCAGTAAATCCTAGGTAATCAAGGCAGTGTCTCCATGCCCACTGCCTTGCAGATCAACTCACATGTGAGTAGTCTGTTCATGTTGCTACTTTATGAACCATAATTGCAAGTTTACACCCACATAATGGCCTCCCATTGCATGCAACTACTTCTTCAACTCCACACCGTAAAAAGACTAGTCACTAGATTGTGACGCTGTTGAGTACCTGTACACTAATGACACTGTACAACATTATTTATTATTTGTACATGGTATGCGACATAATAATAGTGCAGCACCTTCTATTAATATTAAGTTTTCTCCAATTCCCATGCAACACCCTTCACAATTCATGAGGCACCCATGGGCCATGGCAACTTCCTCAACCATCAGAATCTCTATTTACATGACTCAACGAATACTTATTGACGACCTGACTTTTGATTCACTCAACTATTCAATCATACTTGAAGTTGAAAGGGTTGTGCCAACATGCTGCTCTCATTTCGCTTGTGGTTTGGGAGTCAGGAATCAATCAATCAGTTACTCAGTGCCAAGCCTTGCATGAAGCATTTATGAGTTGTGAGTTGTGATTGCGAGTCTCATGCTAATCATTCTTGGGGCTTTTCCATCAAGGACTTAGGATCACTACAGCATCAGCATGTTCTGGGGTTTCCACAGATGAAGATATATAATATATTAGATCATTTTCATCGCCAGTACCACCAATATGCCTCCTTGACACAAGAACAATTCCCGGGTTGTAGCCAGAGCTACTGGTGCTACTCCCATTGCTACACCTGTTTCTCCTGTCCCTGTCGCTGCTTCTGTTGCTCCCACTCCCACTGTTACTCTCACTCCCGCTATTGTTCCCACTCCTGCTGTTGCTGCTGCAGTGAATGCAACTATCCTTCATAATCCTCAAAGGTACCATCAGCTTTCCCTCAGATTCAGGCAGGACAATGGAGATGAAGGGAAATTCTTTGACCTTGAGAACGTCTCTGGGGATGAAGAAGATGAGGTGGTCGTCTCACCTGCACCCATAGTTAGACCTGCTGCAAGCCATAGCCCACTGCAGACTGCTATGAATACGGCCATGACTACTTCCATAACCAACCCTCTGGCCACTGGTGGCCGGGTAAAACCGTGAAATTCTCTGCCGATATTCACTTCTTCTTGAGACAGGACCCTACCACTCATTGCAACATCTGCAAAGCCTGCGAGTGAGTACTTGTCTAAAGTCTATCTTTTTTTCTAACATCCTTTGCCAGAAAAATTCACGATCTTGATGATACTTACCATATTGCATCATACATTTCTAGTACAAGGACTTCAACTTGTCGTGCACATGCCTTCACTGAGCATACTGACATTTACTTGGAGGAGGCAGAGCATCAGCACTGGCATGTCCTCCATAAATCATCACAATTGAACACTTTTCTGGATGAAGGCTGGACAATCACAACCATGCATCAAAGGCTGAAGTATTCAGCTTACACACTAGACTCACTTTGTACTCCTCCCAGTCCTGGCTTACACCCTAGAACCAGCATGTCAGCTCCAGACAATGTATTGCCTGCATTCACTTTGGACAAGATGCACAAACACATTGTGAAATTTATTATTGCTGATGATCAGGTGAGTTGATTCACACTTTCTATGTGCTATGGTTAATAATCATCTTCAGGCAATCAATATCATTGAATGCCCGGAATTTCACCACTTAATCTGTCTTCTGCGACCATCGGTAAATGAGACCAATATATTCCATCGTACTAAAGCTTGTGAATTGATCATTGATGCTTTCCATGAGTACTTCAATGCTTTGAAGAGGGATCTTGCAGTAGGTCTACAGTTGTCCAGAGCCCTACAAATGCCTGATATCTTCAGGCCGCCCAGGGAAAAGTCTCATTCACATCTGACCTCTGGTCAGATTTGAACCTTTGCCCATTCATGGCCCTTACTGCCCACTGGATTGCTAGGGCAGACCGTAGTTCAACACTCATTTTGAGGGCAGCCCTAATAGGCTTTCACTATGTTCCAGGAAGTCATACAGGTAAATTGTTAGCATCGGTAATATTGCATCTTCTTGATCATGCTGGTGTGACCGAAAAGGTCAGCATTTAAATGCACCATGTAATATGCTCTAACTTTGTTTAGACTAGTCATTTCACCTTGGACAACACTACCAATAATCAGGTTGCTATGTGAGAACTTCCACAGAAACTGGAGTCTCATGAGATCAATTTCCACCCCATTAACCGCAGAATACCATGTTTTCCTCACATCATCAATATATGTGTGAAACACATTATTGATGATTATCATAAAGCTGACTTTTCACTTGTGGATGAACATTGGCTAATCAGTAATTGCACTGTGATCAAGGTGGAGTATGTCAAAGCCATAACAGGGAAAGCTCTCAACAGAGCTAGGTATGCTGTGCACACACTTCGTGCATCAAACCAGTGACACAATTCCTTCAGGGACACTATTATCACTGGTAATGAGAAGGAGTGGTTTCAAGATGATACGGGTGAGAAACTGCAGCTCCCCATTGTTGAACTCCTGCTTGATGAGGCAACTTGTTAGGATTTGATCTATATAATGCTCAATCATTTACAAACCCTTCGCCAGGTAGGGCATTACTTACTAAACATCTGCCATAAACTGATAGTCATCTAGGCAATATATTTATTCTTTGACTCTCTCACTCAACACCCCATCAACTGAGTCTGATGGAGTGACAGTTTCTACAGGATGTCAAAGTAATCCTGGAAGTAAGTTTTATCATATTCAAAACTCATCTTTCATTTCATCATTTTGTATTAGGTGCCCCATGCTGCCCAACAATGCATATCAAGTGAACGTACTCCCAGCCTGAGTGGTGCATTTCCAGCATTCGAAACATTGATTGAGTGGTGGAAGTTTTTGGCAAAACATGTCCCACACTGTGAGCCTCTCGTTCAGAGAGATTTAACTTGGGCAGATCAGTACAACAAGAAGATGGGTGCTACAAAAGCCTATGCAGTCAGCATGTGTGAGTATAGTATCTTTTAGCAATGTTTGGTTGCTCATGATTGCATTTATAGTTGTTGATCCTGCAATCCAAATGTTATGGGCTTGGATTCATTGGGAGGAACTGACTGTCAAAGATGTGGAGAAACATATAATTGATCTGGTACGTTTATTAAACACATAACAATGCAAATTTGAACTGATATTATCGCACGTAGATGCATGAAAAGTGAACTACAGATGGCTCAGCATCTGCAGAGCCTCTAGCTAATGGAGCAATACCTCAACAACAACCACACATGCTAGGCTCACCTTTATGGACTTCCTGATGTTGTCATCTTGCCACATCACAATGGTGATGCCCAAACAGTCAAGCAAGAGTTCAAGGCCTACACTATGGCTAATCTTAGCCCCAAGGGAACAAATATACTCACATTCTGGGTGGTGAGCATCCCACATCCCTACAAGTTGAATCTTCATCATTGACCATGTTGACCAGGTCTCACAGACCTCATTTGTGACAATTTATGGTATTGCAATGGACTATATCCCAATAGAGGCCTCTGCCATTCTGTGTAAGCGGGTATTTTCGTCCAGTGGTGAAACTGACACGAAGAAACATAATCACATGAGCCCGGTCTTGATGGAGGCCCTGCAGATGGTAAAGTTCCTGCTGAAAAAGAGCGACTTGACTTTATGAAAGGTTGGGCAGCATCGCAAAAGGACATGGAGAATAATATGGTGGACGAAGGAGATAAAACTCACAATCTTTTGACATTTTCCAGCAGTGAGGTTACAGGTGATGTATGTGATACTCTTCTCAGGGCTATCGCAGAGGAGGAGTGCGATGATGTCGACAATGTTTCTACTACCTACAATTTGTGATGTGCTTTCCCTGCTCAATTTTTTGTTCCTTGTTTCACTACCTTTATTCTGGCTGCCTGACATCTTCTCATATTACCATTTCAATCGTAAACTATTCTTTACCGTCTATTTTTAACCTGTGTGAACTTTTCACACTTCTTACCCCTATCTCCTGCCCCTAACCAACTACCTGACTTCACTCTTCAAGCTCACTCCTTCTACTAACTATAACTATATATTCATAAGCACCAGCTACCTTGTCTTTGTCTTTGTGAGACTCACACTAATTGGAAGATTGTCAGTTTACTACCAGTGCTTCAATGACCGAGCCTCAATGCACGTATGAAGAGGTCATTTTTTGACAGTGAGAAATGGCTTGTTAGGATTGTCTCAATAATTTGAGCATACTGATGATGCACCAATCTGCGGTCAAGCATGGCCCATCACCCTGTACCAGAGTTTGTGCACAATAGGCTTGGTTCCACTTTGCTTGATGTTGGGATCTGCTGCCACTGCTGCAAATTCAGTTAAGGGTGCTGGTACTAGTGTAATTTCGGGTTGGAGTACAGGCCCAAGCATCACTGTGACTGCTACTGTTACTGCAGGCATGGGATTAGGTACAGGCAGTAGGAGAATCATTGGTAACTTCAATTATATTTTGATTGGAGGGGCTTTCAGGAGGGGTTATACTTTGAACATATACTAATTTTGTGTTTACAGGCAGTGCGCAGTGCTACAACTACCACACAACTGCAACCCGTACTTCATGTTTACATCTGACTCCTGGTAAATGTAAGTATTCATTGTAAACCAAGCAAAGATGCAGATACTCACCATGCTATTCCTCTTGCTCCTGTTCCCACTTCCGCTTTTGCTTCCAACCCAACTTCTTCAACACCACACCTAGCCATTTCTTTATCGGCCATTTGACACCTGCAACCTCTGTCTTCCCTGGTCTTTGGCTGTGAAAGCCTTCATCCTTCTCTTAATTTTGTCTTGTTCTTCTCGAAGCTTGTGGCCATGATAAGTGCTGCTGTATAGCTATTTCAACTTAGCTTTCTGAACGTTGGTTTGAGAATTTCACCTACATTTGCTTGTGGACTCATACTGACTTGCGATTGATGTTAATTGTTGATATCCGTTTGATAATGA